GAGAGAGAGAGAGATCCTTCTCATTTCAGGGCGGCAGCACCCTGGGCATGAGCGCGACGCACACACACGCGGAGAGGTTCTCGCTGTCGGAACACGCGGCCGAGCAAAGGCGGATTCATCGCGCTCGCCTCGCGCAGCTACGCTCCGAGCGCAGCTGCGCGACCAACTGCGTAACCGAGACGGCGTCAAGTTCGGAGGATCCGAGCGATGACACCGACGAGGAGCCGAGCGACAACGAGGAGCTCGACATCGATAGCTACTACTTTCTACAGCCGGTGCCCACGTGGCAGCGGCGGGCGCTTCTCAGGGCCGCCGGTGTACGAAGGATAGACGCCATCGAAAAGGACGAGTGCCGGGATATTCGCGCGAGCAGGGAGCACTGCGGGTGCGGCTGCAAGGGGTACTGCGATCCCGAGAGCTGTCCTTGCAGCAGGGCCAACGTAAAGTGTCAGGTGAGTGCGAGGAAGAAAGAGTGAAAGGAAGAAAGAGAAATCAAAGTGAAGAAATTAATATTTTAATCTTGTAAATTAATTTACAAGGCTCAACGATAATTCAACTTCCATTTTTAAAAGACTTACACCTAAAAGAAGAGCACAATTCTTTAGATATCTGAAATGTAAAAAGCTTTGATTTTGGTTGAATGTAAAGTGAAAAAGTTAAGAAGTTTTGATCTCCTTTCTTAAACACTTAAGAAAATTTGTGTAAATTTAATTTTCTATAGAATATTGAGATCAACAACGTGGCACGTAGTTTGAGATTTAATGCTGCTGTTAAATTTAAAAAAATCGTTGTTAGGTTGAATCCATTCTAATTTATTAACATGTTCTAATCTGTTCAAATCAGTTTGACTGATTTTCTTTAGTGCTGAAGAATAAATGGATTAATGGATAAATGAATTAAGCTTGGAGGCTCGAGATTAAATTTTTCTGAAGTTCAGAAAAAGATAGATGATTCGTTCAGAGAAGAGTGAAATGATTTTTCATTGAATTCGATTTGTAGGTGGATCGTCCAGGTTTCCCTTGCGGCTGCACGCGGGATGGTTGCGCAAACAGCACAGGCAGGATCGAATTCAACCCCGTGAGAGTACGAACGCATTTTATCCACACGCTGATGCGATTAGAACTGGAGAAGAAGCAGCGTGAGGAAGACGGTGGCGGTGATCATGACCAGACGGACAATCAGGGACAGCGCGACAGGAGTGCTCGTCCTTTGAGGGATATCGGTTCTTTAGGCATGGAGACAACCGTAGCCGGTGACGCGTGCGCGATTCCGGGTACAGGACCCGGAGGCGGAGGGGGCGGATTCACGACGTTGCATTACGAGACAAGTCACGAGGGTGTCGGGGCTGGCGTGGTAGCGGGCGGCTGCCAACCGGAGGTGCCTGGTACGCGAGAGGACAGCCTGGATTTATATGCCATCAGAGATGACTGTTACGCGAGCGAAGACACGGTGGACAGCAGCCAGTCAGGCGTTGTGCAGCGGAAATTGCATCCGGAATTTGGCCAGGCCTTCCAGAGCTTCTCGCCCGGTGGCCAAAGCGGCGGCACCGCCGGCGCGGGCGGTGGTGGCGGTGGTGGCGGTGGTGGCAGTAGTGGCAGTAGTAATGGCGGTGGCATGAGCTTCCAGCAATCCTCTTACCCAGGATTATGGATCGCCATACGCGGGACTCCCATCTACGTCGCGAGTCCAATTCCAACCGTCGCCGTCGCAGTTTCAGTCGCCATCAAATCCGGCTGCTTTTGCGCATTACGGATCCTACGGCGGACCACAAGATGCCGCGAGTACTGCACTTCAAGGCTGCACCGGCCAGGTTCATCAAATGCCGCAGCCTCCGCCGCCGCCATCGACATCGCAGAGTCAACAGCAGCAACAGCAACAGCAGCAGCAGCAGCAGCAGCAACAGCATTCGTCTTACGATGCGACAGTGTTCGCGCAGGATGATGCCACGAGTACCACACAGTACACGAACCTCACTAATTCGGTGCAGCCAATGAACGCGACGGTGGTGCAGCAGATGCAGGGTAAGCTCGAGCCTTTCTCGGAGCTGCTCAGCGGCAGATACTCGTATTACGGCGAGATGCACGAGCCGCAGCAGCACCATAATACATACGGTACTCACGGAACTACCGGCAAGATCGCGGAAATAATCGAGCCCGATCAAGTCACCGGCGAGCAACAAGCCGATAGCACAGTTGAGGATTGTGACGAGAACTTCGGCGAGATTATCAAGAAGTCCATGGTTGAAACTGTGTCTGCCTAGAACGGAGGAAGTCTACCTCGCATGGAATTGTCCAGGAGGAGTACCGGGGATACTCAGTGCACGCCAAAAAGCTGCATTTCTTTCTGTCGGTCTCTTTGAAATCGAAAGACTGGAGCCTCCTCTCTCTATCTACATACATGATAAGCTTGATATCGAGAAACTCCTTAACGTTTGATAGTTTGTTTCTCTCGAGTCTTTCGTCTAGGATCGCTTGAATGGCGGGATTCATTGAATACATCCTGGACTCGATACACCTCATGGACGATCTACATCACTTGACGTCTCGGCTCCTTTGATGTCTGGAAAATTAAAAACCTTGGAACTTCCTTCAAGTTCAAAATAATCTCTAAAATTAGGACTTCGAGGACAATCTAGATGAAGGACTAGAAGGAACTTCGGGAGTTGTTAACGATTTATTCCCCCGCGCGATTTGCGAATAGGGGTGAACGTATGGTGCCCTCCGAAGGAGACGGAAAATCTCCTGGGGCTAGAATAACGTCGGATGTCCAAGAGATCTCGCATAGAGATCGTTAGGAAATTTTACGACTACGACGTGTGCGTCCGCCCGGGATGAAGTGACTCGCGACGTCATCGTCGGCATCCTCCTGGAGCGTCAGGATCGTTATGTTAGTTATTCAATGTCGACAACTTCACGATTGCAGTTTATAATATCTAAGAAGAGCGATCATTCAATTCTTTTTCGTTGCGATAAACGATTGATTCTTGTTTGCGATGGAAGATAAAAAATTATGTCAAATCGCGAAGTTGACCGACTTATTCGATTTAGGTCGTCGACGATGTACGTTGTGCGAGACGATGACGAGGATCTCGGTCTAGAAGGTCTTGAAATAAAACCTTTCGAGCTCTGAGATTCTCGTCGGATATCTTCTCTAAGAGCGATCCGTGAGCTATGGTGGAAAGAGATTTCAACGAGGTTGTGACCAAGAAATAACACATGGGATCAGCTTATAGATTGCAGTTTATAATATCTAACTTTAAGCATAGGGCCGATCGACCAGGAATGGGTCGCGTGTTCTTTTAGACAGGCCTCACGTCAGAGGCTATGTCCGAATAATGTATCGATCTAGAGCGAATCTGCACTCGCTCTAATTCGAGAGAATCGTTCTGGAATATACACATACACAACACAATATACATATACACAAAAAAATTAAATTTTGAGAATTTATATCATTTATTGTATATCGCGAAATTTATATACATATATATATACAAATATCAAATCTGTATTTAATATTTTTATATTAAAGTTTATATAATATTTATATGACTTCTCATATAAGTACTATATATATCTAATAGAAATTTGTACAATTTATTTGACATTTTATAACAAAATTTATTAAATAGAACTTCGATTAAAGTTTAAATAATTGATTATTCTCAGTTTCTCAAGTCCAGACTAGTAGCGTTCAAGAAAAAAAAGAAAAAAAAAGGAAATCAAGATTCTGCAAAATGCGTTGCATTTCTCGTGGAGACGAAATTCCAGAGTGAGAACTTCGGATCTCTCGAATCGTTAGAGCTGCCGAATCACGCTCTAGAGCGGAACTTTGAGGTACAAGGCGAATGAAGCAACACGGCGTTTCATAGAAACTGTTCTTGAATAGCGAAGACAACAATAACAACAAGGATAATAAAACGTAAAAAAAAGCATATGCGTACACATGACACATTCGTAGACGAGCGCGAAACGTGAACGATTGTGATACGAACTTGTGCATACGAAGAAAACGTGGAAGAAAAAGTGGAAGAAAAAGTGGAAGAACGGTTCAGCGCCAAGTTCGTAGGTTAAGAGATAAATTATATGGAACTTTTTTTTACGCCGGTCAAATGTAGAAGCTGCGAATGTTTCCAGTTGACGATCAACGACGAAGCGCGGATTTCGATTTTCTTCTCTCGCGAATTCCATGTGTGACTTAATTAACAACGCGACAAAACGGGCGAAAATCTCGAATGTGTCGAGCGCCAGGAGAATATTTTTTCGAAAAGATGCACTTTTGCTCGCGCGCGCGATCCTTTACAATTATACATGTATAAAAAGAATTATATACATATATATAAAATTACATGTAAAATTATATATATTTTAAAATTATATAAGTATACTTTTAAAAAGGATATAATGTATTTAATTATAGGAATGTATACAATTGTTATCTCTTTATTTTTGTAAATAGCATTATTTCATCTCGTCACAATTATGAATCGCGGAATGGTCAAACAATTAATTTGATTATTCTGAAAGGAGTCGATCTTAAATGCGTTATCAATATATATCATGTGTTTCTCCCAAATTATATTTCTATAATTATATATATATATATATATATATATATATATATATATATAATAAATAATATATATAT